CAGGCTGTTATTTTTTCCTTTCAAGTCCCAGCTTTTGAAGACTCTGGAAGACTTAACTGAGGTAAGCTGTAGTTAATAAGCCTATACCAATGCATTTTTGGTGGGGAAAAAATAAGTAACTGAAGGAGAACGATTTTAGGAAATCATGTGATCTACAGCAAAAGCAGTATGTTGTGTGGCACTGATAGGAGGACACTGGAGATCTGTACACGGGTCTCACTCAACCTGTTGCAGAAGTTTCACCATCTGTTCTGCTGAGTTTGGAGCAGGGACACTATTAAGTTCATCACTTGCAGATTTATGTCTTGGATCTGTACCTCTTCTTGCGGCGCTCAACTCTGACAAGTCTGCAGTAACAGATACCTACAGACGCATTCTACTGAGCTGTAAACTGTGAAATTCCAGGCAACACTTCTTTTTTTTAATTGCTATTTGAAAAGAAACTTATATTGATGTAAATGAAACAAATAAACAAAACTCCTCCAGCCGGGAGCTAGAAGTACTTACGTCCCAGTTCATCTGGGTGCTTCACGAGGCTGCTTTTTTAGCTAAATCTTGCTATAAAAGGTATTACCCTGCACTTCATTCACAGCATGAAGTACAACATTCACTTTTAGCTTTTGTGCCAGCTGTTATACCTCTTCACGCCACCAAGATGTGAATAGCTGTGGAGTGGGAAGAGGCATTTACCCAACTGTCAAGACAGGACAGTCGCAGTGCTGTGACTTCCTGACCCATGTGCAGCCTTTTCCTTTCTCTTGCTGAAAGAAATGTGGTGACATTTAATTGTAGTGCGGATACATGAAGGTTTGTATTATTATTGCTACTGTTTTAGAACAGCAACACTACTATTTTTACTTTTATGGTTTAGGCTTGGTTGAACAGCAGGACAGGTAAAGCAGGAGTTCTGTTTTGAAGTAACTTAATGGTACCAGAGAAGAATACAAAATATTCTACGGCAGCAGTATGTTGCATAGACTTAGTCCTGTATTTTGATGTTTAGCAGATCTAAATTAACCTCATTCACCCTACATCCAATGTCAGTAGTGATTTAAAGCTGGCAACCTAGAAAAAAAGTGCTTTAAAGCACATGATAGACTTCATTTTTATAAAAGAATTGACACACAGAATAATTTCAAGTAACATCAGATCCATCAGTACAATTAATGTAACAGTGGTATGGAGACATTCATCCTTGCAACATTTGTGTCAATCACCTGGTCAAAATCCACTATTAACTAAACTGACAGCTTGATACTGACCATGTGTTGAATTGTGTTGTAGCAACATAAGGGGGTTGAAGGGGCTATTTCTTATCATCATTGGAAACAGAACACACTTCCAGTTTAATATCCAACTTGTTTTCCTAGGCTAGACTTAGCATTGAACTGGTTTGAATAGGCACTTGTTTTGACACTTCTGATTTGTACACCGCTTCCCAAAAATCCTTTAATGTGGCAGGAAATCTATTTTTAAACCTTGATTTAAAAAAAGTTGTACCATGGTGTTAACATGACCAGAGTATCTTAAATTTCCACAAAGAGCTAGAGAGTTACCATTTTAGAAGCTTGTTTCTATCTTTTTATTGAGTTAGATCTACTTTCCCTTGGCTAAAGTTTAAATTTTGTATCCTTCAGAGTTGGACACAACTTGAAGCAGCAGTTTGGCACTCTTTTTCTGGTCTTACTTCACTCCAAATACCTTAGTTCTAAGCGATTTTCTAACTTTTTCCTGCAAAATCAGTTTTAATTTCATTGTGAAGGATAAGGAATAGTTAAACCTGATTTATGCTTTGAGTCTCTCTTGTAATTTTACAGTAAAAGTTTATGGGGCTTTATTTCCTCCAGGAAATAGAGGCGTTGTTGGGTAGAATAGTACAAAATACTAATCAAGACCTAGTACTTTGAACAGAATGGTTATCCTAGCTCTGCTTTGAGTTGGTTTTGCTTTTTAGGACAGCCTGTATAGGTTTTTTTGACATGTAACTCACTGTTTTAGCCACTTGTGTTGCTGAAGTTCATGTACTATGCTCAGAGCACTTCTGTGGTGAAGTGAAGGCCTTGGTTCTCTCCCATGTTAACACTGCAGTACAGGCTGTGGAGAAAACCCTGCCCCTGCCATTGCCTGACAGCTTTTTCAAGCATGAATGGAATGATGCAGCTGTAGCTTTGGCTATTTACCCCTTTTCCTATTTAACATCAGTAGTAACATAAGCCTGGCCTTGAAAGCTAGCTTAAATATGGAAACCAAACAAATTCTGTATGAATGTTACTAGCCAATCCTTCCTCTGGCTTCTTCTACGTTATGATTAAAGGTGGATGTTTACTATCTAGATAGGGCCTTAAGCTTGCTTTTGCAAGAACACTTGCCAAGGTTGGTTCAAGTGCAGGTGAAGAAGGTGTTTACGTGAACTTAAAAACACAAAGAAAACCTCAAACCAAACCCAAAGTGTTCCTCGCCCTTTCCCTTTGCAGATTCTTGTGGTTTTGTGTATATTTTCCTGTACCAGAAGGCAGCAACTTTAACCTGTTCTAGAAAGGTCGTGTCTGGCACTTCAGCCTTCCTGAAAGATTCACAAATTGAACTGTCCCATTCTGCTTACAAAGTTCACTTTCTCCTTTTTGTGACAATCATATTTTACCAACCTCTCACCAAAGCCTACACATTAACACTCTTTAGGCATCTGACAATAAAGCACTTTCTCAGTGTGGAGTTCCTGTGGCCAGCTGGGATTTGTCACTAGACCACAACCATTCAATTACTGTTGGTATAAAAACTCCCTTTCTCTTGGCTGACTCCAGCCCCCAATAGGGATGAAATCACTGCCCTGAGCTTTTATATATTTTACTAGAAAGAAATCTCAACTAATCAGCTTTGAAGGTTCTAACCACAGCACAACCTTAGTACTGGTAAGAGAAATGATTAAATTTCTTTAAAACAGTATAAAATTGCCATTTAGATTGTACTCTGAATTCTTTTGTTACTTGGGTCATACAACAAAGATACCTGACAAGTTAAAAGCTGTGAAGCCCATCATGGGGTTAGGTTTTGGAATTGGACTGTTTACTGCATTTTCATAGTGGAGTTTGTGGAAGTATAAGTTGCAAAGGGATACTGTAACCTCTCAATACAAGAAATGAAGACAAACCTAAACAAGGAAAGGTCTAAGACCTGCTAAGCATTTAGTAATAGTCTACTGTTAGAATACAACCAGTCTTAAGAAAGACAAATTGAATACTGGCTCAAGTGGACCTAAGATGCATTGGAAAACATTATGTCCCTGCAACAGGTATGCCAGCTATTGAAAGGTGCTTCGCTGCTTTAAAAGCCATACAGAGAAACAAGCTGCTTAGCCAGGAAAGTCTCTGGGGTCTATTCTAAAATTCAGTGGGCTTGTTCTCAGCTCATCATGCAAACACCAGTAATGCAAGTATCATTTTTGCTGCCTGTCTGCAAGGGGAGAGAGGGAAGAAGATTCAGACCTCAGGGAAGTGAATGAAGGCGCTCCTGAAAGGCAGATGGAGCTGGGTGGATTTTTGTCCACATAAAGTGAGACTAATCAGTGAGGCCTACAGGACAGCCCAGCAGGTCAAGTATTCACTCTCCTTGCTTTCCGCCATATTTCTCATTCACCTGTCATCTTTGACAGGTCACATGAAGAAAAATAATACTGAAGTCACATGAAGAAAAATAATATTGAAGAAAGGTGGCTCACACTCCAAGAATCACTTCAGCCATCAACAGGCTGTGTGTCCCTGAGACCTTAGTGCACCAGAAACAACAGGAGTTCAGAAGCAAATCTGTGGCACACTCTTTCAAGTCCTTTTTCTTCACACTTTGGGGTGGGGAAAAAAGGTTGATACACAACACTGTTCAGTTTGCTGCTGCTGTAAAATTTTGCAAGAGAACACAAAATTGTACACACTGAAAGCTTAATCTGCACATTTCCCAATGAAAAACTGAAAGGAATTATTTTAAATCTATTACTTGTATATACAATTTCAATCCAAGTTTACATTCACATCATTTTCTTGAATAGCAAAAGGCATGGGTCACATCAAACATGACACTGAGATGCATTGCTTCCACATATTTATAGGATATTATTACTTGAAATACTGGAATGTGTTCATTTAAATTCATTTAGAAGGCCACTTACAAAAGGCTGGGTAAAATTAATGGAGTTGTTATCACCTCTGAGACAAGTTTAAAACCCCACACATGGCTGCATACTCAGCTGGGAGATCTTGGTGGGTTAAGGCATTTGTGCTTTATGTCACTTTTTTTACTTCAGAAGTTAACTGAAGTCTTTTCTGCAGCTAACTAACAAAAAGATGGAATAATTCTCACCCTTGAAAGAGACAAGTTCTTTTTCAATCTTTAAAAAAAAAGGGACAAAGTTAATAAGAAATCATGGGATAAAAGCCTCCCCATTTTTCAGCTACAGAAATGGATTTGTCTGAGCAATTTACATTCAGTGAAATAGTACTGAGACCTGTTTGAAATCATTTGGGCTTAGCTAGCACAGTTTGAGGAGAACTTCATTCCAATGCTGCAAAATAAAGCAAAAAATGAAGTTTACAAGGAATACCTGGTTTCCCTCCAAACGCATTTTTATTTACTTGAAATAGGGAAAAAAAAAAAAGAAACTTTTAAAAATGATGTCTCTTGCTGGAGCACCTGAAACGCATCAGTGAATTCCAACGAAGACACCTTTCAAGCTGAGAATGTGAATACTTTGCTATTTTAACAACCTGCACAAACTGTAGATACTACTTGTTAATTAAAGACCCTACAAAATCACCAGATCTGTATTTTTCTGCTGCTTGAGTTATTAAGAATCAGCACTGAAGGAAATACCTGCAAAACTATCCCAGTTATGTCCACTCAAACTCCATACTCAATAAAATACTGTGGAGACCCTGAAAAAAATAGAAACTATGTCTCTAAATAGAATCCAGAAATGCAGTTTCAGACTTAGCTGCACATTCTCAAGTGTACTTTTGCACAAAAGCATACTTTTAATAGTTAAAGAGCAAACCAATCGTGTAGCTCCTTCCTTTACATTTAAGATTCTATATATAACGTAATCTTTTGCTTTGGTAAAATACAAATAATGGGAAATTCTGGGTAAAGAAAGCACAGTAAATACCATGGGTGTATCATACCTTTTTTAAGAAATATGAGCTGAAATGTAAGGCATCCCCAAAGTATTTTTTGTGTATGCAAGGAATGCAGTTGTTTGTAAACAAAAGCTTGAAGAAAGCAATACTGAAGCTAAAGAATCTTCCCCAGGATCCTTCCGATGATCCCAAAAGCAAGAGCAATTCTCCTAGGGTAAATGTTTTAGAACTAAATCCTGTGAAAAAGTGAATCCAATCCTCTGTCTTCCATAACATTTTTAATCACTTATTAGATTGGCTCGCCTTGAAGATCTCCAAACTGAGAGAGTGATGTAAAAGTTGATTCTTAAGGGTTCAAGCTTGTCTTCAGTCTATTTTTCTGGTACATCACTTTCTATAGATTTCATGGCAGCACTGTTACAGCCTATGGATGCTGGTACAGTATTCCCACCTGTAATGTTTCCTGGTGCCTGGGTCTGACAAGCAGCTGTTGGTTTAGTGGCCAGAAGTGGCCTACAGGAATTAGGCTGATGTTTCCGATGACCTGAATCCTCATCTGTTGCAGCAACTGGTCTCTTTCGGCCAGATTCTTCACTAATAGGAGGCTGAAAATAAACATTGACAGCCTGTTAAAGGTTTTTCTATAGGGCCAGGTATTTACCTTTTCACATACTCAAGGGATCAAAAAAGAGCATTCCATAATTAGGCCCTTTGTTAGGCCTAGTAATCTTAGTTATTTGCAACTCTCTGATGATATTCTAAAGCTTTCCTGGCCATTTAGCTAGAAGTGCTAATGTGTAATATAGCAAGGACTTTTGACGGTCTTAGAGCATTATTTAATTGTCCACCCCTCAAATGTTTGCCACAACTGGAAAAGGGAGGATTTGAGAGGATGATGGTAATGTAGTATACCATAAGCCAGTCAGGAAAAGCATGGCAACACTATGCTCTGGAATCACACAGCTTAAGTATTCAGCAGTCAACAGGAAGGATGCAGTCTATCTGGTATATGAAGTCTCAGCAAAGACCATGACTGTCACCAGTCATTCAGATATGATAGTGGAGCATGAATTCATTTATCACATTCTTAAAGGGTACAGGAGTCATCAGTCTTACCAGATGACAGACAACCTATTTTTTGCTATTTAATTACACAATGAAAATACATCAACACTTTTTACATTTCAGCCATCACATCTCAGCACTGGACTTTGGCTCGAAAAAAGAACATTTAGATGTAAAAGTGTATGTTTAATTTGAATTTAATTTTTTAATCATGCTGTTCCTAGTCATTAACAGGATGTGTAAAGCTGCCTTTCTGTGCAATGACACACTGTTCTCAGTTTACCTTGCACTAGAACTACCTGTACACCAAGTATTTATTGAAAATAAGTATTGAAACTTACGTCCACTCGGAAGTCCTCCAGTCTCTTAAATTTACTAAGGTATTCTTGCAGTTTGGGGTCAACCGCTGGAGTCTTGTGCTGAGAGTATTTTAGATAAGCCCAAAATTTTTCCAGTCCATATAGCTGACCTAATAATTGAAAAAGGTAATTTTACCAATTTACAAAGGTCAGATTCAATTAAAAACTTAATTATTCACTGGTAACTGTATGCTTAAGAGAACTGAAAAGGAACATGAACAAAAGCTGCTCCTGAATTGGTTAACAGGTCAGTGTCAAGGAACTGGGGTTATTTCCCATCTAAAGATCTAAAGCCTCCCCAGTGTGAGCCATGACAGGCCTGTGATAATTACCAGCTTCATAGTCTTTCTTTGTTTCTTCTTGGAAATCCCGGAATATTTCTTGCCTGAATTTCTTCTCTAGGCCATAGCTGTAAAATCTAAACAAGCATTCCAATCCATACCTGCAACAGTACAGAGAGGTGTGAAAAACTTGCACATGTGCTCCTCATTCCTCAGAAGGATGACAGTTTTCAGTCTCTCCTTGTATTTAAAGTAAATGGCACAATCTCATTTTACCCTTCTCATGAAAAACACTTCTTGTGATTGATTTTTATTAACTTACTGTTCTGAAACATCTTCACAAATAAAACTGACTTCAGAAAATCAAGGTTATCCGCCTGTTTCAACTTCCACACATACGAAATGGAGACAAATGCTTTCACATCTTTGGTATGTCTGGGTGCATAAACAGTTTCAACAAAACCAACCATTGTGGGTCAGACGAGAAGCCAGCCCTAACCCACCATCAGGTGCAAAAACCTAGTGTGGAGGGCAAGACTCTGTCCTTTAAGTACCCACACAATGCAGAGCCAGGGTTTCTGCCTCAGATTTGGTAACACATGGTCACCAGTGCTGCCTTGGGCCTCTAGGTAACTGGCACCTCCTCCTGTTCTGCATCACCTTAGTCCCTTTAAGAGCCTTCTGAAGTTTCTCCTGTTAAACGTGTCCTTGGATAATCACAGAGCTTCAAGAAAGCTCAGAGCAGAGACACAAGATGTTATTAAAGCCACCTCTGCACCCAAGGGGCTATCACTCTGCAGGCTCAGACAACACAACCAACCTCCGGGATTTCCATAGCCAGAACTTAACATTCAAAACCCTGGGCTACCTTGTCTCTGTAGCTAAGAACGGTGAGGAGAACTGAATGAAAGATCAGGAGCTGAAGAAAAGATCAAAGAGGTGAAGGGACAGTGGTCATTTCAACTAGTACTTTGGTAGGCAAGAAGTAGTTTGAACAAGTTGAATGAAGTTAAAAATGTCTTCGCCTATGGAAGGGATAATCTTAGGAGTATTAGGCAGTATAGAGCTGACTTGTCATGGTCAACAAATTGCAGGACTTTGTAGCATTCAGGACCAATTACAAGTCAGGAAATGCTGCACGTTTAGCTATTTATCTGCAAAGCACAAATACATACAAAAGGTTTTGGCTTTAAAAGAACTTACACAGACTGCTGCTTTAAAGATTTACATAGAGCCAAAGCCAATACTAAAAACGATCAATTCAGATACATGTAAACTTCTCAGTCATTAAAAGGAATGGTAAGACCTCAACAGTATGTAACTTCCAGGAAGAAGCGGATACCTGTAGTGTTCTTCTGCATCATCCAGAGCAAGTTCCCTGAATTCTTCATACATTTTCTTGTTAAAGTGATCTCTCAGAAAAAAGGACCAGAAACGAAAAAGTGTGTTCATTTCCTGGGACTGGCCAATTCCCAACCGTTTCCTCTCTGGAAGAAAAAAGGGGACGTTAAAAAAAAAAAACCAGCCTACTTTTAATTCTTCAGCAGAATAAGTGCTTTTACAGTAGCAATAAACAGGCAAGATCTTCCAGTAACTTGTTTAAATTTCAGTGTAATTTTTTTGTCAGGGTGTGTAAAGTTAAATGGAAAGCAGAGGTCATAAAATAGAAGCATCAAATGAATTTTGCTTTCTTTTCCCAAGAATAATGAGATTTGAGGAACAATGTGGAGAAAATTGGCATCAGAAGACACCTGGTAAACTCCACCTAAAATTTTAGGAAGTGCATTTAGCAGAGCTTACCCATTAGACACCTTCGACGGTATTTGTGGTACACCTGTTGAGTAAAGCCATTTTCTTTTAACAGTTCATGAGAAGGATGTTGAAATTTTGGAAGAGAATTTGGGGTACACCCGTAACTCCCTGCTAGTGGAGTTCCTTCTGAAGGCGAAGTATTGAAACTCCTGAAGGAAAGAGAAAAACAAAGAGAAAAACCCACCACCAAAACATAAATGTATTTCTGTCCTTTAAACAGAATGCTGCTCTACAATATCATTTTTCAACCATTCTGTCCGAATAATACGGTCACCTAATGACCACTACAATGCACACATGGGGACCAGTCATCTGCTTTTGGGGGCACTTCAACCATAATCAAATTCTGTGCTAGTATGTCAAAACAACCCCAGGCAGTTTCAGATGATGATGACTGAACATTGCTGTAATGCCTGATTTTAAAGAACAATTTAAAGGCAAAATCACTGCTACTATATCATGAATCAACAAACAACATTGTGAACATAGCCTAGCTAGCTTACTTCTGGAAAGCCTTGTATTCTAGGTTTTGTCTTTCTTCATTGCTCTTTCCTTGCTTCCACTGTATTTGTCTTTTCTTACAGCCTTCTCCATTAGCAGTGGGAAATAATGACATGGTAAACTAATTTTCTAAGACAAAATTAAAAGAAATTACCCCACAGAGGAAGTTCTTGGCCTGTGGTCTCTGGAGTCCATCACCCAGCCAACATGGGATTCTAAGGGAGGATTTGTACTGTGCCGTGTTTTTCTTTTTCTTGGAGTCTAAGAAAGTAAATCAAGCATTTATTTTCCTAATTTGATTTCACTCATTCCCTTCCTCTTAACACAAAGTTCTGAAAATTTTATATTGTATTCTAACACGTTAGAAAGTCACAACAGTCCAGTTTCATCACCTAAAGGACTTTTAAGAAGCATTACAGAGAAAATGTGGAAACCATTTTATAGAAATAAAAGAGAATTAACATGGTAAATATTTTGTAGATAATAAAAAAAAAGTATATGCTTGTTAAATTGTGGAGACAGAAATGAGTTTTATAGGCTTTTTTTCTGGTTTAAAAAATATATTACATCTTTCCATTTACCTTTACATCAATGGATCGTGCTTCTTTAACAACAGGATAGAACCTAGGTGTTTTGTTGGGATCCTGCAGCCTCGGGGTGCGAGGTGTTCGTGGGGTGAAGCCAGGGTGAACACGGGAGGAATCTGGAACTGCAGTTGGCAGTGACTGAGCTACTGCTGCTTTTGGAGGTACTTCAAAATTTAACGAATTACAAGTCAGCTCCTCTGCCAAACCTATATGCAGGAAGGAGAAAAAACTTGTTTTCAAGAGAGATTTTGGATTTCCAAGCCTAAGCTCCCCTAATACCTAGGATCTTAAAGGCCTTTCCTTTCCAGTTCAAGGAAACTACATCATCCCCATCAAATTAACAAAAGCACTTGGTGCAGAAGCAGTACAAACTGCTCAGAATTACGAAAAAATGTTTCAAGCATGTCTTTGCTAGTAAATTTAAACCCACTTCTTTGTTACCTGCTTGTTCTCATGCACCTACACTAGCAAAGTAATGGAAAATAAATGTTGGTGAAAATGTAACCACGTTCTTGCTTTTTTGTGAGGGGGTAGGTTTAGTGGTTTTCTTCAGCTACTATAAAGATGCTATTAGCCTGTATCCTAGTAAATGTGAATACTGTATCAGAAATACCTCAAAAGGTAAGATTTGGACATTATGACTGCCCAGTAAGGTCATAATGCAAGTAGAAAATTCTTCTAATTTCCCTCTTCCCCCCCCCCCCCCCCCCCCCAAAATCCCAATTTCTAGAAAAGTTCTCACAACGTCACTAGCTATTACTTTACGCATTGTAAATGCTAAGTTAAACACAAGGCATCTGCTGTTGGTATATTCTGACAACAGAACACTGCCTTTTGATGCTCATATATATCATGATAACTGTTGGTACCTGCTGCTTCTAATTCAACGGAAATCTTGCTACTGATGAACGGCTGACAATTTGAAGGAAAAAAAAACCACAACCAAACCAAAAACCCATGAAAGTCCCTCAGGCTACTGACTGAGCCAAAATTAAAACATTACACAGGCAGGAGTCAACACACCTACAGGATTGTTCTTTATCCCAGAGATTCTGAACACAAACATGTATTACTTACCTTTCTGTAACTCTGGAGGAACTTCCTGGGTTGGATCAGCAATTCGTTCTGGTGCAAGACTATCACATTCTTCTTTACTAATGAGATTTAGCTTCTTAAAGTTCTCAATCTCTTGCTGAATTAAAGAAAGCAGATTGTAAATGCAAAACATGATAACGGATATCATCCAGAAACAGGTGAATTTCATACAAGAGAAAATAAGCAAGCCATAACTGACACACAACTACCCATACCCAGCCAGTACAGATTTATTTTTTTTTAAAGGGAGATGGAAGGGGTCTCTAGCACACACTGTAAAAGTTGCCGCGAGCACTGTGTTAAAAAAAAAAAGCAGCTCAGGCTACATTGGCTGAAAGCAATAGTTATGCCAACAAATGGGCAAACGGAGGCAAGTAAGGTCATCTATATACAAATTTTCATAGATAAGAAATAGAAATGCTGAGATCCTGCCCCTTGCCAAGCTTAAACCCATCCTTTTCTGCAATAAGCATGCCAAGGAAGGTCCTAGCAACATAGATGAGCAGAAGAGGCCCTGCTCCCTTTCTCAGGCTACATCTAAATAAAAGCCAGTATTTGTAATTAATGTGTTCAGCTATAATAAAATAAGGTGTGCAATCTGAAGTTCCATTTGCTCACAGAGCTATCATTCCAACAACCTACAGGGCAAACAAAAATATAGTATAGTATAAAAGTATAGTATAAATATATAGTATAAAACTACTTTAAAATGAGATATTACTTTCCTCCCTTATTAACTCATCACAAAAGCATGCCCTCCTCTTTCCATCTGGTAGTGGTTTGCAGATGTTACAAAACTAACAATTCGTAGAACAAAACAACACTGGAAAACTTAAACCACCTCCAAAATGTTAAAAATAGTTCTAAAAAAATATTAATTCAATGGTTTTGGTCATATCTGTCATCAGAAAAATTTGCTGGTTATGCTTTTGACTATAACAAATGGCCAAAATTAATTCTGGAGCTGTTTGGACAAGTATGATTTTCAGGTCGAAACCAAAGACAGTTACCTTCATCATGGCATCATTTTCACTCTGTCCCATCCACAAATCCTGCTCATAATAGTATAAGCCATCATTAATAACTTTAGCAAGTCCTGATGTAATTTTTGCATGGCATACATGGTTGCCAGTATGATCTCCAGTATGTTTTCTCATATATGGTGGTGTCTGTGTTACAATCAAAATCTTGTTGACATCCTGATCATCAATTTCATAATCGGAATCACTGTCTGACCAATCAGTAAATTTATTCTTCTGACACTGAATTTGTTCCATCTCTTCATCAAACAAAAAATCAAGTTCTTCTTGTTCTTGCTCCTCTGAAGGTGGGGGTGGCTGCTGTTGATCTGATGTTTGATCAGGCATAGGAATATTTTCCTAAGTTGGAAAAAGTGATGCATTTTGTATTTGAATTAGATAGTGATTATCCAAATGAGAGATAAATAGGACATGCCAGAACATCTTCAATAAATGGATGTATGGGAATTAGAAACAATACAGACACTTCTAGATGTTTATTAAGTAAATTACAGTTCTAAATAATTCTGCCATAAACTTTTAGAACAATTATCAATGCACATTACATTTTTCAATTATCAACAGGTACAACAGTCCCTCAGCAGAAAAAAATCCCACCAAAACACAAACAGTATTTCATTTTAGTGAGCTCTGGATCAGGATTCTAAATGCACTTCGTTATTCCAGGTCTGGCAGAATGAGAAGTACACACACAAACTGTATTGCATTATCAAGCATAATTTAAGTTGTGAAAAATCTTGTTCTATGGTATAATCTGAAAGTTGACAAGTTTTGTATTTGTTTATTTAAACATGACTTAAAGGTTTTCCATCTTACCTTTAGTTTGACGGTGGATGCATGATGCCTCTTCTTCACTTCTATCCAAGGTTCAGAGTCCAAATCAGGTAAACTTGTAGACAATCCTTTAGATATTGTCTGAAAATTACTAATTTCAGTGTTTTCCTTTGGACTCAGTAGGCTTTCCATTCTTGGAGAATTTGGTGCAGACTCTAGCAGTGGAATACACTAGTTCAGTTCCTGTTGTAGGTTGGTTTGATTCTGTTGTGTTTGTGGGGTTAATTGTTTCACTAGTCTTTCTTTTAACTGCAGCCACCATTTTTCTACCCCTCTGGTTAAATGTAACACTAATCAGCAGAATTAATTTTCATTCTTAGAAGATAGCTTCACTCAACACTTTCAGAAAATATCAATTCTAACAACTTATTTATATGGAAAGTTTCTAACAGTCTAAGAGAAATTGTGTTTTACCCAGAAAACAAGAAGAAGGAACATCATCAGGGATGTCTTCCCCACACCATCCACTAGCTTTATGGATGGGCACCTAACTCAGTCTTCATTCTTCCCATTTAATACCAGCCAATATTTTAGTAAAATATTTCCTTGCCAAGGCTAGTTGGCGAACAAAGCCGTCTCATTATTAGTGCGAATGAGATCCCCATCCAAAATAAGGATGCACCAAGTAAAGAGTTAACCTCCATCCGCTACTAAAATGAAGCAGATTTTATAACTAACTTGAGCTTACTAGTACTACTGCTCCTAAGGGACTTAGTCCACCCTACTACGTTCTGGAGAATGGTCACAGCCATAAGAAACAGCTTCATCTACTTCACAACAGCCATGCCAGCCATGTGACTTGGCAACTGGAAGGCTGACAGGCATACCAACTGAATCTACCGTTACCAAACGTACAACTTCTATTACGAAATCAGTATTGAGGCAAACTTCCTAACTTACATACAGATCCCTAAGCTTAGGTTTCCAAAAAATAAATCCTTTACCAGTATGTGAGCCAAAATTTTGGCCTGGTATGAATTCTGGACAATTGATGAGCTGAGAAAAGTCAGTTGGTGGCAGACTGCATGGAGGAGGACCTGGAATTGGCCACTTTTCTGGATCAACCCTTTTTCTCAGCATCTGATCCACAGTTTCAACTTCTGTACTGTCCTTTATGGCCTGCGTAACAAGCAGATAATAACTATAAAAACTTCACATATCCAACACCATCCAAAGAAGAAAAAACCCACAAGCTTTGCCACTTACAGCCTCTTCATAAAATCCTTGTAATTGAAAACAGAAATCTTTTAAGTTCACATCACTGACTGTAAATGGCAGTCCAAAATTAACCAAGCAACTTTCTACATACATACTTCTGAATTATTTTACCTCTAAAATGAGTGCAGCATTTGTAGTCAGAGCTTGCATCCTCCGGAAGCTAGCAATCAATGAAACAGGTAGAAATCCTTGTTGGTCCATCTTTCTCCTCAGAAAGAAGTCTCTTTCCAAATTTTCTGCGCTGAAATAATACTCACTGTGGAAAAAAACATGCAAATATGAGCCTATTATAGATTAAAGAAAATCCTAAAATAGCAACTTAAAGGTTCCTTGTTAAAGCCTTCCATTAAAAACAGAGCATACTTGTCATCAACAAAATCATTCTTTCCACAGATGTGCCATTACAAGCAAGACTAACAGAACAGTACGTGTGCGTGACATGTGAAGACAGACTTATGAACCAGTACAGTACACAAGGGTATAAATCAAAGCCTGGTTACATCTGCATGTATGAATTGCATAAGGAAAAACTACACTCAGTTTTCCTTTCACCCATCCCGTCCCTTATTACTTACATGGACAGAAGGAAATAAGAGTCTCTTAGCCTCCATATAGATGAAGGATAACTACTGCTTACAGTCAGGGAATAAGCTATTTCCCAGTACCAGTGCACCTTCATCCTCAACTGTATCTTTTCTTTTCCCAGTTTCTAATACATTAGAAGCTTAAAGTATCCTATCTGAGTGTTGAGGCACATATATATACTCTGAATCATAACTTCAAGCATACTTGAGGGAAGATGAGGAAAAAAATAGTAATGTTTTATTTGACATAAAACTGTATCAAAAGGCACAACAGCTCATGGAGAAATGTAAAGTCTAAAAGAAGAAATGATGTTTACTAGATAAAGAGGAACAAGGGCCATTTCAGGAATCTGACAATACCATAGAACAAGAAACATGAGGGACAAAGAAAGAGCAGAAAGACAAAACTTCTTAAATAATGAAACTGCTCTATGAAATGATGAGGGTGTCAAGACCTTTTATGCTTAGTGAAGAGAAAAAGGAATTCAAATCATGATCTCTCACACACAGAAAGGGAAAGGGAAAGAGAAAGCATCCTATGAAAAAATGGGGAAAAAACACCCCAATTTAATCATGACAACTAAAATCTAAGTCTTTCACAGAGTTTACGCATATACCACGATTTTGCATGTTACATCCAAGGAATACTCGTCACCAGGTTTAGGAAAATGTAGGCAGAGCAATTAAAATTCTATGACAAAAATAGAGGTAGGACAAAAATAAGAGGGCATTAAAATGCTGAGGAAAAATAAACAAACAACCACATGCAAATGTAAATAATTCAAATTTCAGCAACGCAAACTGCTAAGTGTCTCCACTGAAGTTGGGATCAAGGCCAAAGTTACCAAGAGGAGAGGACTCTGATGCCATCAGTGACGCAAGCAGAAGCTTGATACCATTTCTTTCTCTATTTTTTGGTAGCTAAAGAAATTCAAAGCAAAAGCTCTGCATATGAAACACTCGGCTCCAAAACAGAATTAATAAAGTCTCAAAGTTGGACAAGACATACAACAAATGAAAACATTGCCATTGAAACAGATCAAACACAGAAGAGAATAAAGCTTTTGGAGAATTAAGCTCTTACTCAGAGCTAAGTAAACTGATCAGTGAAGCAACGGTGCACAAAGAGAAGGTTTCTTTCAAGAACATTCTGTTTACTGTTCCAAACTGCTAAATTCCTTTTCCCCTCCCAGTCTAGAAGATAAGCAAGCACAAAAGCCATATACCAACATTTTACTAATGTTACCTTTACAGTCATACAGTAAAGGTAAAATCTTGTAACGATTCACCTAGTTAAAAATTCCACAAGCGGAAATGGACAATGACTGAACTTGACTCAAACTGCCTCACTTGATGTCCATCACTCTAGAAAAAGGAATGTGAAAGACCATTAATGAAAAATGAAGACAACGCACAAGTTCGCTCTAAGTAGAGGGACAAACCTAAACACACACATCCCCTCCAGCTTTGCTTTTCTTTTTCCTTGGAGTCTTCCTTCTTTGGCATAGTCACTTTAGTATTATATAACTAAATTATGAAAGACAGACAAAACCATCCCCATTTAGAAGCTAATAATAATAAGTAACAGGTAATTGATGAATAAAGTCTGTTTTCCATCACTTTTAATGTGATAAGAGAAGCTCAAGAATCACCCTCTCTGTCATGGAAAGCAAACTCCATAATCAAACAGCCTTAGGAGTTCATATCAGACAACCAACCAATGGCTCTGGATAGCCAGCCATGCCAAGCCTTCTACTGACACCTGCCAACTTCTTGCTGCTACAATAAAATACAAATATAACCAGAAGTCAGATGTGACCAATGCTGTAACTGACATTTTTCTCAGCAGAGGGGGACATCATCATGTCCTACCTTAGAAGGTCTGGATTCTACACTGCATGCCCAGAAATCTGGCCAACAGTGGAGTGTCTGTGCTCCTCCCCCACTTGTCTGAGGACAGTGCAGGCCGATTATCCTGACATGGGGTTACATGTCCACTGTCAGGTCTCATAGGGGCCTGGCAGCAAAAGTAACAAAAAAGATTGCAATAGAAGTTTTGAAGTTGATAGCCACATGCCAGATACTTTCTGCCCTTAAAGAGGCTTTTTTCTTCCTTTTTGCGTCAACTGTAACAAAAGAAGCAAGAATAAAATAAGCAAGTTGCTTTATGGAACACAAGGGCAATCAAAAACCACCACAAAGGCATCACAGAGAAATGCTGCTGCAAGCACAGAAGATGAAATATCTGCCAGTGGTGGAAACTGTCTCTTTAAAATGAACTAGTGGTTTCCAGGCCCTTTTTGACTTGCCTCCTCGTGATAATCAGTCTTCCAGATGGTTTCTCATTGCCTAATAGTGTACATGAGAAAGTAAACAATTCAGATTATTGAAAAATCAAGTATCATTGCAAAACCACTCTCTTTCAGTTAAATGCTTCAGGTGAAACACTCCAAAACCATAAAACTAACAAGACTTCTCAAAGTGAAATTGAGAGCAAATAAGTGAAACATCTAGCTACACCACCCAAGAACAGCTTTATAGGCAAACAGACCAACAGTACTCAAAAGCACAAGCTCAGAGACATCCATATCTCAGTTACATGACAACATAGCAAGAGGGCTAAGTACCATAAATAAAGCAGGTATATGAGATAGAGCCAGACTACAGCACAAGATGCAGAGCAGCTTCCTTAAAGTTTCTCCCCACCACTCAAGTTCTTCCTCCCCACTAATGAATGAATTCAAACCGACACTGGTAATGGTTAAATAAAAAAGGTAAATTGAGACGCCTTAATCTCCATCCTTATATGGATAACAGTGACTAAATGCTATTTGAAATGAGTTATTTTATCTTAACTAGATCTCTGAAAATACTTGTATATTAAGCAGTCTACTTACATTTGATGCTTTATATATTCTTTGAGAAGTGCTTCATCCACAGAATACATCTGCACTCCTGCTGCATCACCATAATAATACATCACAGTAGCATTAAGCTCAGGTTGAAATATTTGGTCGATCCCTTCATCATACAATTCGTGATAACCAACTGAATATTCAAAGTTCACTTCAAAATAAAGGAGAACATAAAAAGAAAAAATATTAAGTCCAGCACACAAATATTTTAAGGCATGATAAGCACTGCTGTTGGCTTTCAGCATCTGATGTTAAAATACTCAAGCTGATTAAGTTACAGGATATGTTTTCTGAGACAACTCTTACTTCATGTGCAAACAATAACATTATAAACACAGTTTAAAGTTTTTACTAAGTATTTACTTCTTTGCATACTTCTGGGGTTTCCTCTGCCTCGTCCTCTTCCCCTGCCTCTGCCTCTTCCTCTGCCTCTGGAGAAGCCTCGAACACTGCCACCTTCACTTCTCACACTGCATACTTCATCATGATCATCATTTTTTTCTCTATCACGGCGCCAATCTTTAAGATAAAAAAGCATAATACTTGCAATCATAATTAAATATCTCAGTGCTCAAAAGTTCCCTGCAACAAGAGTTCTCAGCTTCATCCCCAGCAATCCACTGACTCAGACATGCTGGCTGAAGCAGGTCAGATCTAAAGCTGCAAGGGTGAAACAGCAAGGCTTGCCCAGCCATGCGTGAAGGTGAGTCAGGCAGAAGCTGTTAGCAATAAAGAAGAGTAAATTGGATTGACTGGCAGTCAATCCCAAATGCTTCTGAAGCAACTGAACGCTGTTGTCAGCTCAGGGATCACAATACCTATGATCAGCTTGGGACATGAAGGAATGATCATGCAATTCTCCTTCCAGCATGACAGCCTTTCTTCTCCTGTGGACAACTCCCGCTACCTCAAGATAGTTAGGAATGGCTCCTAGCTCTTGATAATCCTGCTCAGGGTGGAATTTCCATACTATTGGGTCTCTGGAAGTCCTCTTGGTTCCCAGAGGCAACCATCTACTGTGCCCCTGAATCTGCTCATTTAACAGCAATCATTTGATTATCGTGCCCCAAACTGAGCTTGTAAGTTAAGGACCCCTTTATGATAACACATGCAAACCTAAGGTGACTGTGTCAGAATATATGTACATTTTTTATATAAATATGTGGTCTGCACATAGCAAAAGAGAGCAAGAGAGAAGCAGCAGAAGAAAGAAAAGCAAGCAGGTCCAAAGCAGACCCCAGGGACCTTGGCTCCACTCACCACAATACTTAAGGACAGGTGTAATTTTCACTTTACTCATGAGAGAAAATGAAGCCCTCTCTTACACCATTTCTTTCTCTTAACACTCTCAGACTTCCATCTTCAGTCACCCACTGTTGCTTAAAGTTTCTTTACAATGCAATTGGATAGTCTTCCAGATGCCGGGGGTCCTCTCTGTCAGAGGAATGCCTGGGGATACATCCTCTACTTGATCAAATTGAGAGCTACTAAATTTATCAAAGGACTGACTAAAGATATGATTCTCTGCTCATATTAGAAATCTTATTTTACTAGCAATTAATTTTAATGAACCCTACAAAACATGTATGCTCGTACATTGCAGTTCCTGTACTTTCTGTGAAATAAGACTCTAAATTTCTGAATGTCATAATCTGTGTGTCTCCCACTGGGAATTTGGACCTCAGCCTCTGCAGTCACTACGCTCACCTTTAGAGATCCCAAATGCATGGGCATTAATTGAACTGTTTTCCCAGATCAGTTTCATTTTTGCGCTCTGAGAGTACATGTGGCTTAGACACAGGCAAAAGTCGTATATATAACACGTTCATAAACTAGTGTTGTATTCACACCTGAAACAAGGTTTTTATTTACACAGCCAGTGTTCCTGAAGAGTAAGAGATGATTTCATCTTTTCTCACACTGAAACTGGTCTTGAATCACTAGATCCTTGAGGCAGAGTTCATGCTACAAGTTTCTGGTCATTTGACCATCCTGAGGAATAACTGCTGAAGAAAGAGATACACTAGCGAAATTCATCCCCCTACCTCTGTACATCCCTCAGACAGCCAGATCAAACCCTCACATCCATGTTCCTAAAACAACTTCATAAGCAAATCCTACCTCAGTAGCATCTGGCACTTATAATGAGTAAACATTTAAATTGTTAATGTATATTGAGATTTTAAAACTTAAATGCAAATACATAAACCAAAGAGTTACACTCAGTCTAAGATTTCTGCTGTCTGACAAGCTGTATTCAGCACACCTGAGGACCAGAAGCAGTACCAGCTGTGGTGCATTTCTTCCTCTGTTATGCTAGAACAACTTTTTGCATGACCATGCTGAGAAATAGGTCAGGGAACTGGTCCAACTTAAAGGAAAAAACAACATCAGTAGAATTGCCAAAGCAGAGTTCAAAGTGTAGGTCCACAAGCAATTGCTCTGGTAGCAACAAGCTGCAGGAATAGCAGTAGAGCAGGACAGAACAGCCACCTTATGAGACTATTTCCAAACTTCCCACATCATAAAGCTGTGGCCCAAGACTGTATAGGGAGCTATGAAAAGAAAAATATATGCTGCTCTGATTTTGCCTCTGCATCAACACACATTGCAAAGGTAGGCTGTTTCCAAACTCAGTTACTCAGCAGAGTCGGTGACTGAGACGTTACAATTCTGATCAACTTGAAGAGGTTCCAAATATATCTGGCAGTAAGCTCTTAAACAACAAACTTTCCAATTTAAAATTTGTTAAGCCACAGAAATACCATTTATTTCTATTTTGCAGGTTATTAGCAAATATAAACACTAAGTCTTAGTTAGTATTGGCAAAGCCAAGTTTCAACATAAACTGCCAATTTAACACCTACTCACATGGTATTATACTTCATTTGCCACAAATAGAAAGACCCACAGATTGAAAACCACTTACTTCTTGTCTCACTCCTCCAGTTGTCATGAGTTGGTATTGACTTGTTTGTTTCCAACAGAAATCCTGAGCTCGTTCGAGAGCCTGGTCTTTCTTGACTTGCTGACCTTACACTGTCCAAGTGAAGTGGCACCCATTTCTGCTTGTTACCTTGAAAAGTTAATATATTACTTGTAATTCTAGTACTACCTGAGGTTTTAGCTCCTGAAATGATTCTGTGGAATTTCTCTTGTAGAACTAGTAACAGTTAATTTCAAAGTTTAAAAACTGGGAGAAGCTTAACACAGAAATTTTAAGATATTATGATATTATGAAATTTTAAGATACAAGGTGAATGACTAAATAGTAAATGCAGTAAACAGGAATTTCTCAAACTGAAAGGTAACCTTACCTAAGCTTTAAATATATGAAATAAAGGTGAGGTTTTTATTTAATGATTTTTTAGATGTAAGTTCCATTACCAAGAATTTATAGCTACATAACTGTTAAATACATACAATAAATTCATTACTAGATAATTTCACAACTTGTACATGAAACTTAAAGGTAAGAAATAACATATCAAGCACTAAAATAAAGATTTCAATCACAAACCATAAGGAAAATTCCTAAGAATTTAGCTGTGGTACTGTATTTTACCTTGAGATACTCAGATTGAATTCTTTCATGTGCATCCACAATTATTTGTTGCAAAATAAAGCAAAGCTTTATTTTGTCAGAGGCTGGCCTAAAATCTCCACTAACCATATATTTAGTGATGACATTTGCTGTTCTATATTTAACTGGTATTGTAGGCTTCATACCTTTGTAGCCAAGAAATATAAGCAAATACATAAAATAGGGGTGAAAATGTGGGGAAAGAAAAAAAAAAAAAAAGTTGTTCCTATGACTTTGAAAAAATTAAAAGCAATCAAGAACATGTTCTTAAATATATACATAGGAAGATTAACAAACCTAAATAGCAAAGGTCTTTAGCATCTGAAGAAATACCATCAGGGAAGCAAGAAACAAAAGCACCTAATGGCAGCAATATCTTAAAACTGTCGCAGCTTTTTCTCCAGCCTACTGCAGTCTACCAACCAAATGAGATACAGGTTTACTTCCCATCTTAAATGTAACAGATTGGATCAAAAGGAAATTAATAACCTGTTTTATTTTTTACATGATCACTTCAAGGTGTAAGCTAATAGTAAAAACCAAAAATGTGTTAGTATATGTAGTTATATATAGTTATTACACACACATGTATATGAAATTAAATTAATATAGTGCTATCTATTTAGGGTAATAAAGATAGGAGACATAATAATGGTTTGTACATCCATACTAGAATTTTCCATAAATCATCAGAGTTCCATGGACCTTCACTAGGACACAAGTTGCTTTTCCCCCAGAATCCCCATTTGACTAAGCAGAACAGTCCATAAAGAAAGGAAGCCTGGTTTAAGCTTCCTAGCAGAAAGCAATATATCCTATTATCACCTACAAAATTCAAACCAGAAAAAGTTTCGTTAAGTCATTCAACTGGAACTAATGTAACTGTATCAGTGGTGACTTACTGCATTATACATAGCCCCCAAACTGACCTTTTTTCCTTTGGTTATTAGTCTGAGCTTCATCTTTGCTTGTTTTATCTCCTGGACCATTTGGCTTTGCCTCCTGCTTGTCCTTGATTCCATTATCGCTTTTTTGATCAGATTTCTCCTCCTTTTCTCTTCTATTTGTTGGCTTCTTACTGTGACTTACAGTCTTGCACTGCAAGAGATGTTGGCAATTATTTCTGACAGTACAGCTGCTGACAGCAAAAGGTCTAAATTTCCTTTACTTATTAAAATTCCCTTATTATTACCTGTTCTCAATCTCTTCAGTAGGCTGAGTTTTTAGACCTGTTGTTTTGTAAAGTCTCATTTTAAACAGTTCTATTTTCCACTAACTTGGCAAGAATATAAGAATAATTTTTAGACTAAGAAAGTTTTTGTTTTTTAACTGTTGATGTAGAATTGCAGAGTGCACAACAATCACGTTTCAATACCTCAAAAATGAAGTTTATTATATAGGAAAGAAAGAAAGATTACTCACCAGTACCTACTATTCAGACTGATTATCTTTAAAAAGCTTTGCTTACAGAACACCCAGTGGTAAATCAGAAACTCCCATGATGCTCTACAATCTCAACAGCATGCCAAATACTCATGTAAATTATAAGGAGCCACAGGTCTTGGCTCTGACAATTCTGTTCCACTAAATCAGAACATGAACCAAAGATCTGAGGATGTGGAGGTGTATGATTATAGACCTATTTTTTCCCATATTAGAATATTGCATTTAGTGGGAACTGTGTGCCTTTGAGTAGAGCCAGCATCCTGCAGATCATTACTTCCTGGAAATCCCACAGAATAACAGGTTTCAAAGCAGGCAAAGTGAAACTTCAATACATGCTGGGGGATGAAGGGATTGAGAGCAGCCCTGTGGAAAAGGGCTTCATGAAAAGCTGAACATGAGCTGACAATGTGTGCTTGCAGCCCAGAAAGCGAACCATACACTGGGCTGCATCAGAAGCAGCATGACCAGCAGGTCAAGGGAGGTGATAACAAAGGATACTTACTTCATTGTTTGCTATTTCACTTGGTGTTGGCCAGTTTGTGATATCATCATGATATACCTCAGCCTGCAAAGATGACGAACAGTTTATACTACTTCCTAGATTTAAACCTTTTTAATACGGGGAAGGGAATATGTCAGTCATGACTCAGATGGCCAGACTACCCTCTTGAGTAGATTTGTTAGAAATAGCAATTTTTTAAAACTGAGAAATAAAACAGAAAATAAACACACAACTTTTAAAAATGGAATATGATCAATTGTAGAAACAACTATTCATTACAGTTACATCCAAATCAAGGTACAATACATCCTAGCTTGTAATTAGCATAACTATCTAAAGAAAGCCTTCATGAGGAACATCTTAGGTAGGCACAGGCAAAATAACATAGGAAGCAAGCAAAATTTTCTACATTCTATCATAAAACAAATTAAGTGAAAGTAAAACAGTTGTCAAATTAAATGTTGTTTTACACATAGCTTCCTATGCAAGTTAGAGATACCTATTGCTTAAAAGTTTTTTTGCTTTTAGAAGACTTTTGAGCACAGGTATTATTCAAAGTAAAAACGAGTGGCTGTACAAAATTTTAGAAACTTAACTTTCCAATACAAGGATTCAGCCTCTCCTGTTGTTACAACAGCACATAAAGAGCACAAATCACATAATATGCAAAAAGAATTTCGAAAACCAATCCAGCATCACCTGTGCTCAAGTGGTGTTGGTTCTTTGCAGCCCCTTCACATTTTTATATAATCCCATTGCTTTTTTTGAACAAAACTTCCTTTCCTTATCCTTTATACACACACCACTTATGCACTCCTTCTAACTTTAAAATTTCCCTTCTTTTTTCACTTTCCTCTTCAAAATTAACCATTACCAAGGCAGAATATAGCACTTCTGGATTTAACTTCAAAATACTTCATTATCTTTTTACTTTAGCACTATCAACCATTTACCATACTGAATAATTACAGCCAGAAATACCCTTTTGAAAGTCTTTTATTTTCTTACTACATTATCAGCTGAGCCAAAAGCCAGCTCAGATTAATAGGTCAGATTAAATGGGAATTCTAACACAACTGATGCAGTAACTCATAGCTGAACGGCCTTCTGGCAAATACAAACCTTGCTGAATTTCCTTGTCCTGGATTTCGCTGCTTTTGTAACTTTAGTGGAATTATGCAGTTCTGAAAAGGAAGAAAAATATTTTCAGTTGAAGAATTACATGTTAAAAGAGTAAGGAAGGTTTACTAAGTCATTATGCAAGCATGAAAAAACCCAACATAGAAGCAAGTACATAATCACAAATTCCTAGTAATTTCCTTTTATAAGCAATTACTCAAATGCCACTTCAAACTCGGCCATATCACTTGCAATCAATCCAAAGCAATGGAAAAATAGATACAAGGAAAGGCGAAAAGAGAAAATTACTATAAAACCTACATTAAGGCTAGTAAATTGTAATGCCCAAAATCCACACTGGATACATTTATGCTAAATATGAGCGTTTGCAATGAAGCTGACACTCATACATTTTCAGAACCATCTTGAGTCAAGACTAAAACTTTATAATAATGATTCCATCTGATCTCCGGAGCACGAGTCCATTATACTTCCACCAGTAACATCTGCTAGAAGTTAATGTAATGCTTGGAAATAACTCTCTCTCTCTCATATATAGCAACATTATTGGGCCTAATTATCTAAGATCAATAACCTCCACTGAATAAAAAAAAAGTCTATCTAAAATTTACTACGTATTTTAATACAGGTGCAATTGCCCTTCCACAAAACAATAAAACAAAGCAAACACTAGTATCAAGCAATTTGCTTGGAGACTAAAATTGAGAGAGAGAAAACCGCTTTTCTTGTTAAGCCCTTTCTCTGTTCTCCCAATGCCAAAGCATATTTTCCTATGGAGAAATGGTCACAACCTTTCCTTGAAAATTCTTATTCAGTTTTTTATTGCAACACAAGCTGAAAACATTGGATGTGACTGAAATCACTAGTGGATTATTATTATTATTCTTTCATACAGGGATAACATCACCTCCTAAACCCTTGTCTCATCACATCCAGTGACTAATCTTCCTTATCGCAGCTTCACACTGGGAACCCCACCCTCCCACCCCAGTGGCTCTGAAAACCCTCTCTCTGCTTCCTGGAATATACTGTCAACATTCGAAGCATAAATTTCTGCATACTTCATAGTCCACTGTAAATTAGATTAATTTTACTATTTACAACTTGCACATCACACAACACGTGAATTCAGTCAATCCTGATCGGCCTTTGACCTTCACCACACCATCTACCAACAGGGTTTTCTCCTCTCATACAGATCTGCTTTCTAAA